TATGGCTGGATTCAGTTTTCTATAAGCTTTTCAACGAGCCCCCTCATGCCTTATGTTTCCATTTGAAAAAAAAAGTAGGGGTAGCTGGGGGTTGAAGAAAAATTAATTATTATATAACCGAAAGATGGGAAAAAATCAAAATCAGTTAACGTGTTTCGGCGTTTTAAAAAAAATTAACTCATTTAAGAGATATGAATTTTATTCCGTACTTCTGGCCAACCCTGTATATAATAATTATATTGTACATAGTTTACAAACAATACATTTTTGAACGCATACGCATCTTTACCCGAATTTGATGCGCAATATCTCCGATGTGCGAGGTCTGTAGGTTTGCAGTGTGTACAACTGCTAGTCAATTATTAGCGCTGTTGCCACATCTACATAGTCTTTATGCGTTCATTAAATATAATTTAAAACCACTTAAATATGATATTTTTATGTTGTTAATTAGTCAATATGTATATGAGTAGATTTATTTGCTATAATATAGATAATGTTTATCGCAAATAATTTCAATAGAATTTAATTTTTTCAAATTAGCAGCGGGCTTTAGTCTTATAAGAAGAGCATAGGACCCCCCTACACCCCTCTCTTCCCTCGGATCCCGATATACCTCCTTAAGTCGTGAAAACTAGATTTATTTCATTCTTCTAAAATATTTTCCATGTAAAACGTCGACCCTCATTATTCAAAAACAAATTAATATGTACCACGCACATCATTCCGCAAATAATGCTATTCACCAAGTACAAAAACAATAAAGTTAATTTTATATAAAAATGCTGAATTGTAATCAGCTTTCGTATAAATTTAATTACAAACAAAAATTTGGTTTACAGATGGTGGATGGCGCCGATGTGGTAGTATCAGGAAAGTCCAACAAAGATGGCAGCTTAAACTTGGATCTATCTCTTCGCCCTAACTCAGATGGAGTGGAAGAAGGTCGTAAGAAGAAGAATCAAGACGGAATGCAAGCCTTAATTGCAGCTGCCGTGTTGAAAGCAGCTTTGTTGAAAGCGCTTGCCTTCAAGGCTCTAGTATTCCTTGTAGGAAAAGCTCTTCTTGTCAGCAAGGTAAATCATACATAAACATTCCATTTTATATCGTAAAACTAAGCTTGTTTTATGGAAAATTCGTAATGTTCATGCAATAATTCAAAAACTTTACCAAGGAAGGCAGTCGTTATAAAAAAAAAAGTTTTCTAATATTGTTTGAATTTAGAAAGTACACCTCTTTCGATTTTAATTTAAAAAATATATAAAAACAAGAATTTCAATACAATTTGTTGTCAAAACTAAGTAAACAAATTTCTCTTCGGTGTATTATTCGCCAATAAATTCCGCAACTTTGTTCTAATTTCACCAATGTTTATAATCAAAATATCTAAAAGTAGGTACCAGATATATTTAAATTTACTTGCTTTCTTGTTGGTACGTTGGGTTAATTAGATGGCGTCTGATAATATTGATTTTTAAATATTACATTGGCATTTACGTTTGAAATTAATGGCAAACATTCATCTTCTTCATTATCCAATATTCAAGCTGTTATCAAGCGAAATGAATAGACTGTTCATGGTTCATATGAACAAACAAAAATAATATTTCTGCAGTTTGGGGAGGTACAAATGAAGTTATCAATTCGTACGATCGTTTATTTGCATGTGAGCAATTACACTTAAGTATATAACGATTTGGATCGATACTATACTTAAACTTTAACCAGTAAGCTTTGTAGCTACTCTGCTTATACGAAAGATGTGTTAAGAACTCATTCAATGTAACCGCCACCTAGTGTATCAGTTAAAAATTGATAATTCAATATTGGTTTATAAAATGAAAATCTAGTTGAATATGCTCAATCCATTCCATGTAAAGCCAATAACTCCTATTTTGTTTGCACTATATACTATTATGATTTACTCTATATTCCTAAAAAAAAAACGTTTGTAATTTTGTAGCCAGATTTTTTATTACGAGTATACTTTAATATTCAAAGTTGGTAATATTAGATTTCACCCAACTATTGATTTTTTATTTATGTTCGTAATTGATGTTTGTCTCTATTGTTGTATCGGATTTTTATATACTCTCATTGCATATTATTTCTTTAGTTAGTGCTATTTTATTAACAAAAATAGCATTTTAGCGTTAGGCATCAGTAGATATTTTTTTAACTGTTTATGACTTACTACAACGGCATTTCGGTGCGTTAAATCGACACCAGTCCAATGAAAATGACTTGGGTGTCCTTTATTAAGCTAAATTAAATTAGTTGATCTAATAATTAAAACATTAATAGCTTTAAAGAGAACATGTTTAGTTCAGAAAGAATCGTTGGAAAATATATTATGTGAAAATTAAATATCCTTATTTGTACAAATAGTAGTAGTTCAGTTAAAGTTGAAAATAATGAGTGGAATGAACTACTTTATACTTAAATCATGACAATAAAAATGGTATATTCTGGTTGAAGGAATATCGTACAACTCTAGATATTAAAAGCCTAAATCTCGACGAGTTGTATCATTTCAATTAAATTTTATTATTCCTCCAGACAGAAATTTCTCTGAAACGGGATGCTTTTTATTATACATACTCGTCATATTTTTGTAAAATGTACCAGAGCGTTACCTAACTTGAATTCATAAAATTTTAATAAAGTCTCATACCTATCGCATGAATATAATTTTATTTTATGTGGATACGCAAAGTTATTTTTAGCAACAGTTTATTGAGGATGTAAAAAATAATAAAAAGAAATACTTTTTATTATTTGTAATATCACGTTTTTATGAAAATGAAAATATGCTCGTTCCACATAGATTATGACACCTTCCCATAAATAGTTTTTATAGAACGAACAGTTTTATGGTTATTTTTAATGTACTTAATTTTAAAATAAAAAGCTTTAAAACGGCTGGTGCTTCGAATAAAACGAAAAACAACTTTGTTCTTAGAAATGCCATGGGAAATAAAAACCAATAATCTAATTTGTAGAATACTCTGTAGCTTCTGAGGCTCCTATTGGTACTCACATTATTACCGTCACTGGTTGACGTATTTATGAGTCAACTAAGTGAATTTTTACTTGTAATTACGTAAATTAATATCCATGTTTCATTCTCTATGTCAAAAACCCTTGCACCGTTGCAAAAGATATAGCCCTTAGTGTTAAAATGGATAATATGATATTACACCCAAATTTTCTGTATCTGTTTTTTTTTATAAATTGCACTTACGCTATGTCCCTGTATACCCACCATTTCACCACCAGATTAATTAATCTCTTATTATAATTTTTTTTATCTAAAACAGATGCTTCGTTGAATTTTTCTCTAAACGATATGTTGTTAAAGCCATACGATACTTTTATTGTAAGAAATTTTATGTTCAGAAATTCGTAATTTTAAATTTTGTCTTATCTGCCCTATGCAAATCCCACCACAATCGCTACATATAATTTTATAGATTATTTTAGAATAGTAATCAATTGTCAAATTATCCGTGGAATTGAAACTAAAATAGTTTATCACGATGAAAAATAAATGTGTTTTGTATGAACTTTGAAAGTATTTTATGTTTATGTAACATTTATGTAGAATTTCACTCATGTAAACGATTCTATTTTGTATTATATTATCTAGTTCTCTAAGATATGCAACTGTTCACACATCGTTATATAGTGCTACGCCCATTATATTTGCGCAACCCGCAATACAAACCTGCAGCTTCAAAAAAGGTGACAGATTTTGGATATTAATATTATTTTTTAAATATTTTACTGTCATATTAATAACATTATATTAACAAAATTTCTTTTTTCAGCTCGCCTTAGTTTTAGCAGCCGTCATCGGACTGAAGAAACTATTCCACCAGGAAAAACACGTGACTTATGAAGTAGTGGCTCACCCTCATCATGAACATGTCCACGATGTTCACCATGCCGAGCACGGACATTCAGGTGGTGGCTACGATGGCGGTCATGGTGGATGGGGACGAAACTTCGACGGTCAAGCAGCACAAAATTTGGCTTATAACGCTCATGTCCCATCCAACTAAACGATGCAATTTGAAAATGATGCTCTCTTAGCTACACCATATTGGTGCTGTGCTTTATTTAAATGAAAATTATTTATTTTTTTGTTTCCCTAATTTATTACTTTTGTTTTGTAATTGTTATATTTTTTTTTTAATAAAAAGAAACTCTCCTTGTTAACTGATTTATTTTTCTGTAATGTTTGGTGTGCAGAGAATTAATAAAATACATATATTTATTCTTAAAATTGAAAAAATAAATATTAGAAAAGAAAGAAAGAAAATATTTGGCTGTTAAATTATGATACGAGTGTATATTTCTTTATTATTAAAACAAAAAGATGTATGGAACATGAATTCTACATATTTTAAGTTATCGTTACAAAATCTAAAAACATTTAAATAAATGTTACTATAGGTATAGATAGAACTTGAACTTTTACGTCCAGACATTTCCGTCAGTATAGTAGTTTCAAAATCTCATGAGCCGCGAAAAGCGCGAAAAGCGTGGCGTATCCGCATAATTCTTCTAATAAGCACGTTGTGAAAACATTGACTCAGAATTAGACCACGTGCCTCATTACAACCAGAAATGAACTAAGGCGCTCGGGCATCCATAAAGTCAACTGACGAACGTTTGTTATATATATATTTCTATTGCTTAAATTAAAATAATAAAGAATATGACATTTTATTATGATATTTGTAATCGGATCAAAGGCTTGTTTACGCTACGAGAGCTCGAGATAGACTGTGAATAATAGATGTAACGTTTTTAGGACGAAGAATAATTTAGGCGACGGACGGTCGGAATTATGTTTCTGCGCATATGAAGGTCAAAGCTCATAAGATTTTGAAACACCTCTACAATAAGAGACAATAGACCACAGTACCTACTCAAATAATGGTCATAAGTTTGATTAAAAATTGAAACATGAATACAAAACAGCCATTAATGAATTTAAAAATTATTATGTAACTAACTGAATAAAAATTATGCCATCATTCATTCATATATTGATAGACTAAAAAAATCAAATGATTAAATATGTCATCCTGATTCAGACGGTTATTTTTAAATATCTCTCTACTGTAAGAAAAAGTTATGGTAAACATCTTGTTTTCTGCTTGTGAAAGCAATATACTATATATCTATGGTTTAATTACACGTTTATAAAAAGTTTTTCAGAAAAGCAATGAACTTGGAGAAAGGAAGGAAAACTATTTGCTTATTGAAAGTTGTGAAAGTGTTTCAATGGCACAAATACATATTATTATATTTCAAATATGAGGCGAAAGAGAGATTTAATCATCATTAAAATAACTAAAAAAAAAATATACCCTCTATTTGTCAGTATCCTGAAGGATCTTTAAAGTTAATAACATTAAATATTTTCTTATAAAATAGAAGAAAATTACATGGAGATATAAAACAGTTTTTACACATAAGCTTTCCAGTAGGTACGCTTTTCAATTTATACAAAAGTACCTAGTTGACGTTTCTGTTATAACAATATATTACAACTCACTGGTATCATAGCTGTATTATTTGTCACAAAATGGTTGAATCATACACAATCATGCTCCAAAAGTGATATTAATATGATAATCATTGCAGTTTGGAAGACATATGTTTGGATTCATTTATTGCCTTGCGATATAGCAGGTCATAATGGTTGCATACCATACAACCAAATCGTGGGTAGTTGTATGTGTGTAATAAAATAGAAGGTTGATAGCTTTACACTTTTAAATTAAATCCACTTAAGTTCGTATAGTTGACGGAAAAGATGGAGTCAATGGTAATTAATATTGGCATTATACTACAGGATTAGCTTATAAATCAATAAATTTAGTAAATGAGAAAGAATGCAAAACAGCTGAAACGATCAGTGAAATAAACAAAAATAACCAACAAAATAAACAGAAAAGTTTTCTTACTCTTTTTTAGAGATAATAAATAAGCTAATTAAACAAATTCAAAGAAACTTTTTTTTTTAAATCTTATCAAATGAAATCAAACAATGATCTTCGATACCAGGAATCTAAGTATGCCAAAAATATCCAAGATAGATTGCTATCTAATGATATTGCGCGAAACAACTACTGCCCCAACTAGTTTTGGATTGCACTACGCTAATACTAAACAGAAATCTTTCTGTTTCCACATTTTACTTGAGATTGTTTCATCAAAGAGCTTTTTGTTTCCATATTTTACTTGGGATTATTTCATCTCTTTGTAGCAACCGTTTTTGACGTGTTTAAATGAGAAAAATGTTTCTTTGAATTTGTTTTAATTAGCTTAATTCCTTAAAAAAATTGTAAAAACGTGAGAGATAGAAATAGAATATATATTCTATATAAAAGATTTATCAGTAAATTACATTAAATTGGCACAACATAAGCTCTGTAAATTGAAACAGACATTTTAACAGCCAAAGTTGAGTAATGTAATGTACATTATATTAGTTTATATCTCCCCTAAACTATCGAATGAATAGTTAAGCTTATTTGCTAAGGAAACCATGTTCTTGGAATTATTGTACAAGTACAACCAGGACATTGTTGACTTAATTTTAACTACTAGTAAAATATAATATATTTGGAAATTAAGTATAGCGTCTATGACCAATTTTTAAAAGCGGAGATGGTAATGATGCCGCCGACTACCACGCTACCACTATAATAAATAATTTTAGTAAGGTATTTGAATTTTTTGTCCGTGAATATCTCTACAATAATATGACGAATATTGTCATTAGCAATCAGCATGGTTTTATACGAAGTCGTTCCACAATAACAAATTTATTGTGCCTTAAACACCTTCCAAAGGCCTTGAATAATCAAGAGCAAGTGAATGTGATCTCTTCAGGGGTTTCTCAGCGCACAGTTCTCCAGTCCTATCTGGTGTTCCTCAGGGATCAGTCTTAGGCCATCTGTTATTCAATATTTTTATTAATAACCTTGTTAGTTGTTTTTGTCTAACTTCTATATTCTGATGATATAAAAATATATTTAAGGATAAACAGGACTGCGTTGATCTCTAGGAAAATCTCAGTAGATTTAGCTTTTGCTATGGGGTGCTTTTTAAATACAAAAATGTAAAATATTAACTATTTCTCGAAAAAAGGTAAATGTTGATTTTTAATACTAGAGTTTTTTTAAAGTGCGATCGGTCGCGAAAATCCAATGAAGTTGTGCGCAGAAGTGTTGCGCAGCATCTCTAGTATGCCCGTCGATCGCGTTACGTCGCACTTGTCAGTTCTGAGGGCGCAGTGAGGATGTAAGCGTGCATACAACAATAGAGTTTCCCGCCAAGTGTGAGGTGCGAGCCAAAATTCATCGACCAATGAGTAATGTGTACGATGAAACTTTTATGAGTGACAGCAAAGTGCGGCAATGGTGGAGGAACTTTGAAGCAGGACGTACAGACGTTCATGATGCAGGCGGTCAGGAAAGGAAGCGAGTGCCAATCGAAGATCTTGTTCTGCGAGTGGATCGAGAAATTGTGAACTCGTCAGTTCACAACTTCTATGTTGAGTAATTCGTTTTCCAAAATTTTAAGATCACCTCTCTATACCATCGTTAGTGAGAAACTTCAATAGCGCAAACTGTGTGCGAGATCCGACCATCACAAAACACATTGAATGGGCGCCGCCTTAATGTTTCTCCAATGCTACGATGATAAAGGAGAAGATTTTTTGAACAAATTTGTCACGGGGGACAAAATATGAGTCCATTTCGGAAATGAAGAAACAAAAGAGCAATCCAAACAATGGATGCATTCTCATTCCCCGAGTAAACCAAATAAGTGCAAACGAACCTTCTCCATCAGAAAGTGTATGACTACTGTGTCTGGAACCGAAAAGGTGTTCTCTTGGTGAAACGTGGTACGACCATCGCTGCAGTCTTATACAGCGTGACTTTTCGTAGGAAAGGCAATTCAGAACAGGGGAAGAAAAATGTTGTCATCAGGTTCTGCATGACAATGCACGGCCGGACACTGCAGCTGCAACATAGAGCTACAGCGTTTTCGATGGGAAATGTTTGATCACCCACCATACAGCCCGGACTTGGTCTGATTTTCATCTCTTTGCTCACATGAAATGCTAGCAAGGAGGATGGCATTTCGGCACAAACCACGAGCTGCAGACCAGCATAGAGAATTGGCTGAAAGCACAGGCGGCTGGCTGCCTTCTATGACGAGGGTATTGGAAAGTTGGTACCACGCTACGACAAAAGTCGAAGCGGCAAATATGTAGATAAATAGTTACAGGGCGTAGGTAAATGTGGAAATAAAACATTTTTTATTTTCACTGTGCTTTTAATTTCGCGAAGGATCGGACCTTGAAAAAAAATAGCCCCCGTATATACGAGAATAAACAACGCGTTTATTCATTAACCAGATTTTATTATGATTTAGGTATTTTCTTCGACTCATAATTAAATATCCGCCTTCGTACAAATAATAATTTCATAAGCTATTAAATTTAGGTTTTGTAATACGTAATGCTCGAGAATTGTCAAATATTAACATCATAAAAATATTATATTAGGCACAATTTGTTTAACAAGACCGGTGAAGCAATTAAAAACTATGCAACTGTCAATAAGACTCCACAACAATTAAACATTAAAATGACAGACGCCTCCTATGTGTTTTTATTTATTGTGATTTCCAGTTTGAAAGGGTGGTAATTGACATTTTTTTTTACTCAGAAAGTATTAATTTTTTGGAAAAATTGAAAGAGCAAGAAAAGTTTCTAAATTCATAGGGCCACAAATCCGTAATTTTAATTTTGATCCATAGCCATCTAGAAAAAAGTTCTGACCAAAACATTAGGAAGGGTTGCTTGTTTCAACCACTTCGAAGTGAAGGGTGCAAATACAAATTTGTTGCTAAATAAAATTTCAAAATTTTAGATTAAGCCGTTTTTGAATAAAAATGAAAACCGAATTTTTGGTTCACCCCACAAAGGCGAATATCTCTGCAAGGAGGATCAGATCGAATCTGGAATATTATTCTCTTATTTGAGTACCAAATTGCACAAGCCATATCGATCTATTGGAGAGAATGCAACGGAGATTCCTAAAATATATTATAAAG